GTCGGTAGGCATCCTCAAGCTGCCGGAAGGGTCGTTGGCACAGCGAAGGTCAAACTCCAGCCCTGCTCCGCTGCCTTTTAATGGGTTGTCGGGGCGTCTCTGTCGGACAGGGTTGGTGGGGTGGGGCGTCCCACTTAAGTCTGACTGGGGTCAGTGTGCCCATAGGGATGACTTGGGTTGATCTTTTAATGACACAGGTTTTTAAAATTTCAATCTCTTCTGGGCCGGCTCCATGGGCTAGTGTGGGGAGACAGACCCTATAGGACTACAGTGGTTTGAATTCTGGATCTGGTGGCTTGAAAACCACTCCAGGCTTGTGTGCATGTGTGCACCCCAAATTCTGCCAGGATGGAGAAATGGAGGAGAGAGTGCGGCAAGGCCATGCCCTTTGGGGAGTGCTTTCTTTCTCCCTCTGCAATTAAAAAAAATCTCTTCTAAAAATTGTGGTTCTTGGGACCTGCAGACGGAGTAATGGTCACGTCCCATTTAGGGACGAGTTCCAGACCCAGTGACCTGAAACTCACACTGGCTGCGTGTGCATGCGTGCCCAAGATCCTAGAGGAGAATGGAGAAGGGATTGTGGAGTGACCCCTGAGGGGTGACCTGTCCCTCCATCTCTCTGGTGAGCACACGTGTCCTACAGCAAAACTCTCTAAAATGTAGTTCTGACCTGTGGACTTGAAGGTGAGATTGTTCGTAAGTTTTTTACCATAGCGTGTGCTTGCCAGAGACAGGGAGGGGAAGCGGGAGGCTGCCCCTCGGGTATGGCCATGCCCTAGCCCCTTGCCCTCCATTCTCCTGTCAAGGTTGGGGTATGCACATACACACGCCTGCTGTGGCTTTCAGGCCTGTCGGCCTGAAAGGACCCCAACTGCAGTTGGCTGTGTGGAAGTCCTTTGCCTTCACCGCCATGCCACCTGCTGGCCTGTGAAGGTGAATTTTAAGCACAGAGCTTTGAGGCAGCCTGTCCAGTGTTCGTCTTTTCTATTATACATCCCTGACCAAGTTAGACCTTCTCTAAAAATGTCGGCGTTGGAGGAAGACACTGGTGGCAAGCTGGTTCTCCCTGGTGCTGTTGCCGTTGTGACCAGGGTGTCTCCCCTGGTGGGCTTTTCGACACCCTCTGACCTGGCTTCCTCAGTAGGAAGGGGACTGGGACCCTTTGGCATCCTACCCAAAGGGAGGGTGCCTGCCCTTGGCGAGCTCTGGACCTTGGCCACTCCTGCAGCTTGCCTGGCTGGGAGCTGGCGGGTGTGGCCCACCCCAGGCTCCCAGATCAGAGCCTGCGTGCCAGTGAGGTCTGCCTGGACACATCGGCACATGGTCGCTTGGCTCGGCCTAGTGGTGGACTCTGCGAGCTGCTTGGGCCCCGGGGCCCTAGGTGGTGGTGCTGGGGTCCCTGGTGCAGCAGGTGCTGAGCCAGGTGCAGAGGGCACTGCCATGCGACCAAAGCTCTGGCTGGCTGTGCTGGCATTCTCGCCGAGGATGTCGGGGTGTGGGGAGTCCCTGCAGTAGACAGCCAGGATCGGGGAGCAGCAGCCCAGGGCATATGCAGGTGCAGCCAGGTGTGTTCTTCCAGGAGGTTCGGAACTAACGGAAATGGGCTACCCAGGCGTTGGCAGAGCATTTGCGCTGGCCTCCTGCGCAGCAGCAGAGGCCGCGCTGGGGACTGACGCCACATTCTCCTGTGTATGGCGATGACTGGAGCGCAGCGTGAGCCTGAGTCACGGCATTCGAGTCGACCGCACTGGCCACGTGGGGCAAATTAACTCACCCCAAAGAAACCCCCACGGCATTTCTGGGAAACACAAGTGAAGACAGCTTTCAGTGTAAACTAAGAGCAAATGAAGATAAAGGCTCGGCTGGAAAAATTGAGCGTTTGGAAAACTGAGAAGAACGCCCTGGGGAACACCGAGCAGGGCAAGCAGGGCGGGCACCTCCGCTCCGGGAGCTGGGATGGCGGAGGGTTTTTGCTGTCTCTGCCAGCTGGGCGCGAGGTGCTGGCGGGGCCGCCCCCAGTTGCCTGTTCTGTTTGTAGCTGGGCAGATGGGCGCCCCCAGCTTTTCCTGCTAATCCGCAGAGAGGACTTCCTGTTTCCTCTGGCTGGGGACTCCCAGATGAGGGAGGGCCCGGTGGACCTGGGCTGGCTGCAAATGAGAATCCCTGAGCGCCTCATATGCAAAACAAGAAGCCCAAGCCCCCCACCTGAAACCGGATCCCCTGCTCCATGCCGTGCCCTGGGCTGGCCGAGGCTGGAGCCCCATTCTGGCACAGCCTTCCTTTCCTGCCTCTTTCTCCTCCAGAGGCCAGGAGCTCCGAGGCTGGCACGTGTTGTGTGAGGGCACTTGTGATGACCAGCTCTTGATGTGTTCTCCATTGGGGCAGGGAGGCTCACCACGCGCTGAGGTGGAGAGGAGCTCGTGCTGTCCTTGGTGACTGCCCCAGTAGCTCAGAGTGGTTCGTAGGCCGAGTCGGGGCCAGCCGGCCACAGACACCGTGGTCACACTCAGCACGTCGTTAAGGATGTGAGCCTCCGGGTTGACTCCTGGAGCCACCCCGTTAGGGACCGAAGACCTCTGCGTAAAGCGAGCATCTGCCTCGCGTCTGCCGTTGTCGTATTTAATGGGAAAGACGTTCAGAGCCACTGGATGAGGGTAGATACTGTGACATCTGAGTGAAACTGCCCAATTTAGCTAAGTTACAAATGTAATCTCAAAGGTTAACTCTGATAACATCTTGTAAAGCCCTCCAGAGGTGGGCTTTCAGTGGCTGGTAGAACTTCTCCGCTCGTGTTACCGTGAGCACGCTGGCAGTGAGCCGCTGCCATTCTCGGGTGGTGTCCCTCGAGTTGCGGGGCGCTGTGTGTGGG